AAAACCTTATCCGGAAAAATCCACTGAAAACTAACCCAAATCTCAGAAGAAGAAATAAAACAAACCCCAAAAGATTAGAAGTCATGCGGACAAAGAAAAGGAAAATAGTGGAAAAATTTTCAACGGAAACAAACTCTAGAGGCTTATCCGAAAGAAAACATAGAGGATTAACCTACACACAAACATCATTGAGTTTCATAAATTATGATGTTTGACTACTTTTGCTTAGAGTACATTTGACTGGACTGTAGCTACATTAGTTATGTATGTATAGCCAGCTATAAAAGTTTTATATCATATATATTTATACAAACTTGGTTGAGGAACGGATCGAGGAAGGATGCAATAATGCACTCTTGCGTGCTTTGGGCTTTTGAGTACTAGGTTATTATATCATGTCTGGTTATTTTTTTTCTTAAAATATTATTGCACTCGTTGTATTGATCTAGATATTGAAATGTGACGTAAGTTCAAACGGAATTCTGTGTTTTTTTTTCTTTTTTTTTTTGCACTTTTTAAAAGCTTGAAACCCCGTTGGACAATTGATCTATGTTTTTTTTTTCTACACAATTCATCAATTGTTTTTTCCCACAAACTATCTAAACAAGCTAAAGATACCATAAATTAGGGAAAAACATGAGACAACTTACGTGTTTAATCAATAAGATTTAAAACATGACTTAAGCAGAAAAGAGACAAATTGAAATATAAAGATAACATATTTAGTTTTTTTTTTCTACACAATTCATCAATTGTTTTTTCCCACAAACTATCTAAACAAGCTAAAGATACCATAAATTAGGGAAAAACATGAGACAACTTACGTGTTTAATCAATAAGATTTAAAACATGACTTAAGCAGAAAAGAGACAAATTGAAATATAAAGATAACATATTTAGGACACGTTCTTTTAGAGTGTGATTTGAGTGTAGTTTTTGAATTGAATTTGAGTTATAACTTGAGTTAAAGTTGTAATTTAAATAAAGTTGAGTAAAATTGAAAAAAGTTGAATAAAGTTAGAACTTAAAAGAAAGTGAACTTAAATAAAATTTATAACTTAAGTTTCAACTTTTTCTGAGTTTTGTTACAAAAGAACAACTCCTTAGTAATAGCTAATCACTAACTAAAAGGTACCAACTAAATACGAAAAAAAAAGAGATAAAAATTAAAAAGTATGATGTTTTAGGGCATGTTCTTTTGTCTAAAAAACTCAAAAAAAGACAACTCAAGTTTCAACTTTATTTAAGTTCACGTTCTTTTAAGTTTTAACTTTATTTAATTTTACTCAACTTTATTCAAATTATAACTTCAACTCAAGTTATAACTCAAATTCAACTCAAATATTACACTCAAGTTACACTCTAAAAGAACAACCCTTTAATTGCTTGCCGTAGTTTTCAACGTGGATGCTAACTCGGATAGTGCCCTTGCGGACGATCCATCTTTGTCTAGTGCCTTGGAAGTCGAATCCTTGAGCGCCTTCGTACGCTCTCTTACAATTCTACCCTCTTCACCAGTACCCTCCATCAGAGCCTTAACAACACAGGCAATTTCCTTTCGTCGAATAAGGCCATCTTCATCAGCTTTTGGTCTCAATGCCACTTTAAGCCTTTCAACAAGCAACACTGCATTCAATTTTTGCTCCGCGAAGAGTGGCCAAGCAATGAGCGGTACGCCATAAAGAAAACTCTCTAGTGTTGAGCTCCAACCACAGTGGCTTAAAAACCCGCCGGTCGAGCTATGGCCTAACACCCGAGCCTGTGGGGCCCAAAAGTCCACGACGAGGCCTCGGCCCTTCGTCCTTTCCACAAACCCGTGAGGCAAGAAATCCAAAGGCTTAAATGGACCTTGTGGCCGGTGACTGAGATACGCGGCATTAGGGAATTTGTTGTTGGGCCTCTTAACGACCCAAATGAACCTTTGCCCACTCATCTCCAGCCCAAATGCCAACTCTGTCACTTGATCGTACGAGAGCGTCCCACCACTCCCGAAAGAAACGTATAGAACTGAGCCACGTGGTTGATTGTCCAACCAGGTCAAACACTCTGAGTCCTTGTTGATTTGACCGATTGAACCGGTTTGTACGATGGGTCCCACCGGATAAATAGGCATTACAGATCCACCGATCCTTCGCTCTTGTAAGGCTCTTATGGCGTCGGGTTCAATATCCATGAAGCTATTAAAGATAATCCCATCAATACCCCCAGCCGAAACAATCCGTTTTGCGAACTGCACCCTCTCTTTGTACGTGTCGGTTCTCCGGTCTTGAATCGAGGCGAAGAGATCTCCACCACGTAAAGGAGGGCACCCTGGTAATTTCACCGGCTCGGGTAAGTCTCTCATGAAATCATATGAAGCCGCTATCTCGTCCAGCTTCGGCAAGTGAAGGACCAAAGACAAAGACATAGCATTTGTAGGAAAGAAAAGATAAAAGGAAATATCAAGTTCCTTGGCAATATCCAAAGCGTCTAAACCAAATGGATCCACAAAGAGAGCAGTAGTACTCGCACTCGAAGCCAGCGATTTCAGCACGTGGTGAATAGAGGGCAGAGAGCGAGTCATGGTGAGGGTGTTCTTACGTGATGGGTTGGTGTCATTCGGAAGGTCGTCGAAGTTGACCGGAGGGAGAAATATGGTGTGGGCGTTGCGTTTGGGAAGGGATTCAAGGACGGCTTTTGTGGCGTCTGATGGAGGATGATCATCTGGTGTACAGGGAATGATGCAGGTGACATGGAGTTCGTGATGAACGACGAGACGTCTGGCTAACTCTACGAACGGGATTAGATGGCTAATGCCCGGGCCTGGAAGAATTGCTATGTGGGGTGGTGTTTGCTTCATTATCGGCGATCTGTAATTCTGAGAAAAATTTGGCTAATGGGGCTTTGATTACACACGTACATAAAGAGATATATATATATATATATTTATATAGAGGAAAGTAACAATGCACTTGCGTGCCTGGACTTACTTTTGCTTAGAATATATTAGAAATATTATGGTTGATTAATCAAAGAGTGAAGTAGATTCTTTTATGTGACGCAAGCTCAAACGTACGTTCTTTTATCGTTTTGTTACTTTATGGTATGAGTTAGGTGATATCGGGATCTCATCTTAGTTTATATATTTAAAATTATAATTTAGAATTATTTTTATTTTATATGTATTTTTTATAAAAAAAATTATTATAAAAAATTATAAATTATGGTTTAAAATTATGAACGAATATATGAAACAAACGTCACCTATTGATTGTCTAAACGCCCAAAACAATCTCAAAATCAAAATTTTAAAAATCCCCATAAATTATTGAAACCGTTTCTTTGCAACATGTTGTTTCTCATGTAACAGCTAAAAAAGAAAAAGACGACGAAGTGGGTTCAGAACAAAAAACTAACAAGAGCGTGATAAAATGAAGAGCGGAGATTGAAGAGGCGCCAATGACAGATCCCAAGATATATATTATATATATTATATATTTTTCAGTAGAGGCAATCAAATAAAAAGTATATATGAAAAATAATAATGAAATGTTATTTAGTAACTTTGTCTGATAGATTATAATTATTCTACAGATATTGAACGCTTTTGAAGCCTAGTAGTGTTTTTATTCGTACTTTTAAAAGTTGTATGTGCATAAGTAGATGCTCAAGTTACTCCTATTATATGTACACTAACAAAATATTAAATTATTTAGACCTCATTCATTTCACCGATTTAAGTTTAAAATTTGAGTTTTATTATAATAAAAAACTTTTAAAAATAATCATATCTAATTTTTTTATTACAGTAAAAAGTTCTCACATCTGAATTTTTCACAATACTATTATCTTTTTCCATTGTTATATAAGAGATTATTTTGGAAAAAGTAATAATAAGGAAAAGCTGAGAGAAAGAAAAAATAAAATAAAATAAAGAGCCATAAGGCCCGTAACAAATAACTTTTTCCTATTTCATTCTCAGCTAGCAGTGAGTGTAAGTTTGGAGGCACAAATAGAAATAATCCAAGAGAAAAATATGAAATTTGTAATGGAATGATTTTGAAACAATAGATAACGAGTAAGCCATCAAATAATTAATAAGAGCTATGAAAGAAAGAAAGATGTCCCAAGCTCTTATTTTTTGGATTTCATTTCTTTCCGGGAGAAGTTTTTGGGGAAGCACAAAATTTACTAACGAAAAAAAATGGTATGCCCCCACTAAGCAAATATTAAAGAAGATAAATATGGAAATACACTATAATTGTGAAAAGCTCTAAAGAAGACGGGGTAAAAACTATGAGATAAATGTATAAGAATTTCACTATGAAAAATGAGAATTACAACATTCTCTCTAAATTACACGGAGAAAACAATAAGAATCACTCTCTCATGTAAGTATGAGAAATGCCTCACAAAGAGAAGAAAAACTGGAGAAATTAAATTTCTCTCACACTATAGGAATTCTCTCTTAATGTGACGCAAAATTGAGAAGGAATGAGCTCTATTTATAGCTAAGCTCTCCTGAGAAAACCGTATGAGCCAGTTGTAAATAACTAGCTCTTCCTTCAAATGTCAGCACCGAATTTGGTGCTGATTTCCCCTTTCTCTCTCCCTTTTTTTCTTCTTTCTTTCAAAAGTTGTGGTTGTCTTTGGCTTATTAGGCAACACTTACATTCTCCTACTTGGAGATTTGATTGAGAATTAATCATGTCTCCACGCCATCCTTTCTACATTGTCACTGCCATGCTGCTTACATTTCTGCCTTTGCCTTTGAACTTGTCACTATTTAGTGGCTTGGTGAAAGCATCTGCTAGGTTCTCTTTTGTGTGAATCTTTTGCATATCCATACTTCATTCTTCCACTACTTCACGAATAAAGTGAAATTGAACTCCTATGGGAGCGTTTGGTATACAGTAATCTTGAGGATGAGAATGGGAATCTTGAAGGATGCGTTTGGTATACAGTAATCTTGAGGATGAGAATGGGAATCTTGAAGGGTGCGTTTAGAACTCGTTCTAAAATGATTTTATTTTTTCTATGAAAATGGAAATGAAAACGTTTTCAATCTCAAACATAAATTATTTTTGAAAATGCGTTTGGTAGTTTTATCAAGAGATTATTTTCAGTATAAAAAACTCATTAATGTCTCTCTCTCTCTGCTTGAGAGAGGAGAAAACGAAACAAAACATGAAAAATGACTAAAAGTCATTTTTTATTTCTCTCCCATTTTACACTAAACCAAAAAATCATTATCATTTCCGTTTTTTGTCTTTAATTATGCCAAATGCCGTTTTGGAATCATTTTCATTTTTTTGTTCTCGAAAAATAAAAACAAGAACAATTCCAAACACGGCATAAGATTTTCATGTTTGGTACAAGAATTGTAATTTTTAAATTCCTGGAAAAGTGAATCCCATGGGATAATAGAATAACACATGCATCTTCATTTTTCACAACGTGAAATTGCTTCTGTTAAACTTCTCTATTTCAAATTTTCCAGCCATTTTGTGATTTGCTTAACTCCCACTATTTCACTATAGCTGTGAACAAAACATGTACAGTAACTGTACTGATTAGTAATTTTTAGAAAAGACTGTAAATGAATGAACAAGTTCTATCAACAAAGGATAGATCTGGACAGCCTCCTAGACAGTTTCACCTTACTAAACAATATCCCAAGAAAGGCATGGAAGGTCTCAGGTGAACCACTTAAATTCCAGCCTCCTAGACAGAACTTACTCACGCTATACTTATTCGCACCATGAACGATAACTTTGTCGTGAATAGTAACTTCACCTGGATTGCTATAATACCACTTGTTGACAAATCTGACGGTAAAATAAGAAATGAGTGAAAATGAAAATAATATGGACACAAAATATTTTACGTGGAAAACCCGCAAAAGAGACGGGGTAGAAACCACATGACAAGTGTAGAAGGATTTCACTATGAAAAATAGGGATTACAACATTCTCTCTAAATTACACATAAAGAACAATGAGAACCACTCTCTCATGTAAATAGAAGAAACACCTCATAAAAAGAAGAAAAACTTGAGAAACTAAATATCTCTCACACCAAGGGTGAGAATGAGATACAAAAATAAAAAAGGGAGGAGTTCTATTTATAGCTGAACTCCCATTGAGAAAACTGTAAGAGTCAATTGTAAACAACTAGCTCTTCTCTCAAATATCAACACCGAATTTGATACAGACTTCCCCTTTCTCTTTTTTTTTTCTTTTTTTCCTTTAAAAGTTGTGGTTGCTTTTGACTTATTAAGCAACGCTTACATTTTGTGCAAAAAGAATGAAAAATGTTTTTCTTTTGTTGTTTGAAAAAAATGTTTTTCTTTTGTTTTTTGAAAAATGCTCCAACTACAAAAGGACTATCATTATTAAAAAATCAAAATCAAAATCAAAAGAAAACCGTATTTCCACATTGACCAAATCTTGCTCCATTTCTTATCAAACTATGGAGAGCTTTTTGTGCAACAAGAATGAAATATAT